GGGCCATGTATATTTTAAAAAGTATTGATTAGTAAGAACTTACTAATGTCATCTTTTAAACATCATCTTTTAAACATCTATTAAAACATCATTAATTATTTTCTGGTTATTTTGCAGTTCCTTATTTTTTCTTCCTCTGTCACTGTACCCATTTATAAATTGATGATTGCCCTATAGTAGTATGTTTGGTTCCCTTCTCTTTAACTTTTGTGTAACTACTGTAGGTATTTTTGTGTGTGTGCATGTGTGTAGTTACCATGATGCTTAAAAAAATATCTTATAGATATAATAGTCTATTTTAAGCTGATAACAACTTAGCTTTGATCACATACAAAACTCTACCCTTTTACTCTACCCTCTCATATTTTATGTTTTTAATATCACAATTTACCTCTTTTGTGGATCCATTAACAAATTATTATAGCTATAATTATATCTAATACTTTTTTCCTTTAACCTTTATACTAGAGTTAAAGTGTTTGACACAGCATCATATATGATAGTGGACTATTCTGAGTTTGTCTATGTACTTTAACAGTGTGTTTTATATTTTTACTAGAGGCCTGATGAACAAAATTCATGCACGGGGGGCGGGGGGTGCCCTCAGCCCAGCCTGCACCCTCTCCAATCTGGGACCCTCAGGGGATGTCCAACTGCTGGTTCAGAACATCCCCCTCATAATCCAGGACCACTGGCTCCTAACCGCTCACCTGCCTGCCTGCCTGATCACCCCTAACTGCCCCCCCAGCTGGCCTGGTCAACCCTCACTGCCCCCTCCTCCCCCATCAGTCTGGTCAACCCTCACTGCCCCCCTCTGCCAGCCTGGTAGCCCCTCACTGGCCCTTCCTCCCCCGTCAGCCTGGTTACCCCACACAGCCTGCTGCTCAATCATTTGGTCATCCCTCACTAACGTCCCTGCCAGCCTGGTCACCCCACACAGTCTGTGCAGTCATCCTTTCAGTTGTTTTGGTTGCGACAGTTGCTTAGGCTTTTATATAGAACTAGAGGCCCGGTGGACAAAAATTTGTGCACTCAGGGGGGAAAGAGGGTCCCTCAGCCTGGCCTGTGCCCTCTCGCAGTCTGGGACCCCTCGGGAGATAACGATCTGCTGGCTTAGGCCTGCTCCCGGGTGGCAGAGGGCAGGCCCAATCCCTAGGTGCAGCCCCTGGTCGGGCTCAGAGCAGGGCCAATTGGGAGTTGGGGCACTGCCCCCTGTCATGCACAGAGCAGGGCAGATTGGGATGTTGTGATGCCACCCTCAGTTATGCTCAGGGTAGGGCCAATTGGGGGATTGGGGCACTGCCCCCTGTCACACTCAAGGCAGGGTCAATGGGAGGTTGCGGCGCCACCCCCTGTCACGCACAGAGCAGGGTCAATCAGGGGGTTGGGGAGCTCCCCCCTGTCACTCACAGAGTAGGGCCAATAGGAGAGTTGGGGCACTGCCCCCTGTCACACACAGAGCAGGGCAGATCAGGGGGTTGGAGCACTGCCCTCTATCACCCACAGAGCAGGGCCAATCAGGGGGTTGGGGCACCGCCACTGTCACACTCAGGCTAGGGCCGATGGGGAGGTTATGGCTCTACCCCATCACACACAGAGCAGGGCCCGTGGGGGGGTGGGGGGTTGGGGTGCCGCACCCTGTCACACACAGAGCTACAGGGCGATCAAGGGGTTGGGGAGCTCCCCCCTATCAGGCACAGAGGAGGGCTGATCAGGGGGTTGGGGAGCCTTCCCTTGTCACGAACAGAGCAGGGCGGATAGGGAGGTTGTGGCCCCGCCCCCTGTCACACACAGAGTTGCAGGGAGATCAGGGGGTTTCAGTGCTGCCCCCTGTCACGCTGATCCCGGTGCCAGGAGGCCTCGTGGCTCCGCTGATCCTGGTGCTGGGAGGCATATTACCCTTTTACTCTATAGGATAGGATAGAGGCCTGGTGCACGGGTGGGGGCTGGCTGGTTTTCCCTGAAGGGTGTCCTGGATCAGGGTGGGGGTCCCCACTGGGGTGCCTGGCCAGCCTGGATGAGGGGACAATGGCTGTTTGCAGCTGGTCACACACCCTTCAGGGTGGGGGTCCCCACTGGGGTGCCTGGCCAGTCTGGGTGAGAGGCTGAGGGCTGTTTTCAGGCTGGCGGGTGACTGAAGCTCCCAACTGCTTCTTTTTTCCTTTTTTTTTTTAATTTTGGGCCAGCTTAGCTCTGATTCCAGCTCTGAGGCCTCTGCTGCTGAAAGCAGGTATCTGGTTTGTTTGTGTTCTATAATCGAAACACTGTACCAACTCCAGCTCTGAGATCCCTGCTCGCTGAAAGCAGGTTTCTGGGGTTTTGTTTAGCTTCTATATTTGTTACAATGTTTCAAACTGCAAGCTCAGAGGCCGGCAAGGCAGGCGGGGAACATTGGAGTCCTCCGTCACTGAAGCAAGCAAGCCTCATGTTCGCTTCCAGCTGCCTGGCTGCCGGCCACCATCTTGGCTGGCAGTTAATTTGCATATCGCCCTGATTAGCCAATGGGAAGGGTAGCAGTCATATGCTAATTACCATGTTTCTCTTTTATTAGATAGGACTTTATGCACCAGGCCTCTAGTGGTCTATAATTATGTGTGTCATTTTCAGGCTTATCACAGTTCAGTGAGATTTAGAGTTAGTCTCTCTCTCTCTCTCTCTCTCTCTCTCTCTCTCTCTCTCTCTCATCTGAAAAAGGTTCTTCTACAGTTGTCTAAGGACCTGGCATGTGATTAATACATTAGAGGCCACTGCCTAGGACCATGGGAGGTAGCCAGGCCTTAGTGCAGACTGGTGCTAGGGTCCATGGTAAAGTCAGGAACTCACTGTACTCTCTCTCCCCAAAAGAAGGGTACCTTTTTTCATGCTGGGCTGCTCAGGTGTGAGGAAGGAGTGATGCAATAATGTGATGGGGTACTCTTTTTACCCTCTTCTAAGCATCTTTTCTTATGTCTATGCTCTCACCTGGAAGCTTTAGCTGTTTTGAAAGTATTCTTGTGCAAGAATAGTTGTTCAAATTGATGTTTCTGAAACAGCACATAGGCTAGAAGCTCCTATATTGTTGACATCATTTTTGGGGTTAAACAATTTAAGGTGAACTAAGCCTAAGTTCTAGAGAATTAGCCAGCTGAAATACAATGAGGAGGTTAGGATCTCCAGCCTCCTGGCTAATATTCAAGGCTAGCTTTCATATTCCATGGGAAAAGAAGCAAAGGGAATGTGAGTAGAATATCCAAGAGCCATAGTCTGAATGGGGGTCAGTAAAGCAGACTGGTCACATGTGATGGAGGTTATGTAGGTTATTGAAGCATAAGACAGTGGCCTCCAATGTATTAATCACATGCCAGGTCCTTAGACAACTATAGAAGAACCTTTTTCAGGTCCTAGAAAGAGAAAGAGAAAGAGAAAGAGAAAGAGAAAGAGAAAGAGAAAGAGAAAGAGAAAGAGAAAGAGAAAGAGAAAGAGAAAGAGAGAGAGAGCCTAACTCTAAATCTCACTGAACTGTGATAAGCCTGAAAATGACATACATAATTATAGACCACTAGAGGCCTGATGTAAGAAATTCTTGCATGGAAAGGGGGTCTCCTCAGTCCAGCCTGCACCCTCTCCAATCTGGGACCCTTCGGGGGATGTCTGACTGCTGGTTTAGGCCCAATCATGGGGATCCTGGGGATCGGGCCTAAACCAGCAGTCGGACATCCCTCTCACAATCCTGGACCGCTGGCTCCTAATCACTCACCTGCCTACCTGCCTGGTTGCCCCTAACTGCCTCCCCCTGCCCCCCCGCCAGTCTGATTGCCCCTCACTGCCTCTGCGTGCTGACCTGATTGCCTCTAATTGCCCCCTGCTGGCCTGGTCAGCCCTAATTGCCCCCCACTGCCAGCCAGATCTCCCCCAACTGCCCTCCCTCTGCTGGCCTGGTCACCCCCAACTGCCCCCATCTGCCGGCCTGGTCACCTTTTACTGCTCCCCTGCTGGGCTGGTCACACCCTACTGCCCCCCTCTGCTGACCTGGTCACCCCTAACTACCCCTACCCCGCCCGCCAGCCTGGTCCCCCCATGTAGTCTGCTGTTCAGTCATTTGGTTGTCCCTCACTAACCCCCCTGCTGGCCTGGTCATAGGCAGCCATCTTGTGAGGGTGTGAGGGTCAATTTGCAGATTAGCTCTTTATTATATAGGATGGGGGGGAAGTAAGGCAGGCAGGTCCTGACAAAAGTAGTATTTCTTCTGAGCTAAGTGCTACCTAAAAGACACCCTCCTCACACCTCAAAATTCTTCTCTTCCAAGGTCATTTCATATCTCTTAATTTCAAAAGTGTTTCTTAACCACCTCCTCCCCAACTCTTCCACTGGCAGTTGAGTTCTTTGCTCTTTACCATCTCATTCCCATGACATGTAAGCTATAGAATTTGGGAATGGGAAAAGAATACAGAGCCCAGAGAGAAGCAGAGGAATTAGACATTAGAATAAGATAGAAAGAAAAATAGCAAGTGACCACAGGAGGATTAAACTGTGCTAATCTTGTCTGTAGAGGGTGACAGATACCTGAGATATAAATGTATGTCATAAGCTCTAATGATAATTTAGTAACTTATGGTTTATTTTGGAGGAATTATCAAGAAGGGGGGGAAATGTAAACGTTGGCTGGATTTATAACAGTAAGTTTAATAAGAATCAAGAACATTCACATACTATTTAGAAATCCATGATTATGTGGTTAGAGAAATCTTAAACTGCTACGTGTCATTCATGTGAAATTTTGGATAGATGTTTTTTGTGGGTAGGAAATTTAAGTTCAAGTTTAACTTATGAGGAAATATTGGCCAGAATTCGTAACCCTGGAGCCAAGAGAGCAACTTCAGATATGCTGGTCAGTGATGTATTTGTGAGAAATATGAAGCTAAGGAATTTTAGCCTCTCTTCTAAAGGCATAGACAGAGCTTAGCTTAAGCAAAAAGGTGAGGGTTTGTAACTTCTCATTTCTCATTTTATAACTTCTCATTTCTCGTTTGTACCCTAACTGTAATTACCTTTATTCTCTATTCTGGAGACCCAGGCTCTTCATACTTCAGTCCAAAACTGAATTCAGCAAATTTTTGCATAGAATCTCATAACTTTTCACATAATCTTCACAGTAACTGCCTAAGACAGATATGAGTTATTAACCTCATTTTGCAGATGACATAGTTGAGTTCAAAGAGGTCAAGTAATATGTCTTATTTCAAGAGGTTTATTTAGTGTTGTGACTTAATTTAAGTCTCTGATGCAAAGTTTAGTGAATTTCCCATTAAATAATGCTAAGGACACAAAGAAGATAACATGCTATTCCTACCATCACAAATATTATCTAGTTAAAAAAAACCCACAGATTAAATAACAAAATAGAACAATATTGGCACTACAAACCAGTATTTAAAAATGCCAACTAAATTATGCAGGCTATAAACACCAAGGATTCAGAGAGGAGAAGGCTCACTGGTAACTGAGAAACCACAGAAAGCTTCATGGCGGAGGCTATCATTGAGATGGCCTTAAGAGGATTTGGACAAAAAAAAGATGAGCTTTCCTGGCATAGTAAATTATATAAATAGTAACAAGTAGTTAAAAATATGCATAACATGTTTAAGGGACAGTAAGTAGAGTATAAATATAATAATATATAAATATAATAGTATAAATATAATAAATATAATATAAAATTTATATTATTATAATAAATATAATAATATATAAATATAATAGTATAAATATAATAGCTGCCATTTATTGAAAAGAAACATGGCTTAGTGACTAAAAGCATGGCCTCTCAGTACAAATGCTCAGGGGTTGAGACATAATTCTACTACTTATTAGCTCTTCACATGGTAAGTTTATTTATTTTCCTCAGTTTCTCATCTGTAAACTTAGGGGAACCATATTACCTCTTTCAGAGGGTTGTTATAAGGATTAAATAAGTTCACAAAGTATTTAGAACAGTGTCCAAGCACTATGTAAATTGAGTCAACCAAAAAAAAGTACTAAAGAGTATTGTAAATATACTATACTCCAGGCACTGTATTAAGTGCAGTATTTTATTTCATTTAATTATAATCATTCTCTAAGGGATGTATTATTTATCTCCATATTACTGGTGAGGAAACTAGAACTAAGAGAGTTAAATTTCTTAAGATCATACAGCGGGTAATTTCAAAATCTAGGTTTCAAACACAAATGCAAAACCTGTGCTCTTAACCAGTAAGCTTTACTCTCTGAGTCTAGGAAACAGAGGGAATATAAAGAAAAGTAGGCTGAGGCCAAATTATGGAGGGCCTTAAAAACATCAGGCTAAGATAAGTAAATAATATACAATAGGCAGTGAGAAGCCACTGAAAGTTTCTGGGCAATAATATGTTTTAGAGAATTTTTTCTGGCCACAGGATTCCAGCTGGATTAGGCATTTCTTGGCCATAGGAGTATCAAATATACACAAACTTATCCCAAATGATCTTTCAGAAAGTAGGCTGATGTTTTTTGTCCTTTAAAACTTATCCTTAAATATCCATCCATCTATGTAACCCCATTTGGTCTCTAAACCATAATCAATAATAGCTTCAGCACTAAAACCCAAAGGAAAAGTTGAGACTTCTATTACCTAACTCCTAAATCCACACTAACCAAACAATAGTGTTATATTCTACTGCCTAAGTATAGATGCAGACATCCATGTATATCTGTAAGTCTCTTTGTGACCTACAACTGAGAGGCATTTAACAACTAGAAAATGGATGATCTGTATAATGCCTCTTGATTTAAAAGCCCAACTCACCTTCCCCTATGCTATCCCCAACTAAAAAGTATTGCTGGAGAAAAATCACACAACCAGGGTTGCTGCCACAATAAGTAATAAGTCCCCTTATTTGAGGGGAATGTGTTCCAAGATCCCCAGTGAATGTCTGAAACCACAAATAGTACTGAATCATATATGTATGGTATGTTTTTTCCTACACATACATAACTATGATAAAGTTTAATTTATAAGTTAGGCACAGTAAGAGATTAATAACAACAATAATGAAAAAGAACAATTGTAACAACATACTGTAATAGAAGTTATATGAATGTCGTCCCTCTCAAAATATCTTGTGGTATTACACTTACCTTTTCACTTAAAGGAAGAGCTTTATGGCTTCCCTTTGGCATCATATCCAAATTGCCAGCATCACTACTCTTGCACTTTGAGTCCATTATTAAGTAAAATGAGGGTTACTTGAACACAAGCACTGCAATACCATGACATTCAATCTGATAACGAGAAGGCTCCTAAGTGACTAATTGGTGGGTGGTGTATACAGCATGGATACAATGGACAACAGGATGATTCCTGTCCTGAGTGGGATGGAGCAGGATGGCACTAAATTTCATCATGTTACTGAGAATGGAATACAATTTAAAACTTTTAAATTGTTTATTTCTAGAATTTTCCATTCAATATTTTCGAATTGTGGCTGACCTTAACTGAAACCATGGAAAGGGAAACTGTTGATAAGGGGGTTACTGAACTACAAATTCATGATCTTCAACCTCAGCTAGGCCTGAAATGTTGCCAGGCAGTTCTATTAAAATCTCCTATTCCGCTCAGTGGCTATTTCAAACTTTCACCACTCTTATGCCTTCTACACTCTTCCCCGTCCTGCCATCACCAACAATTCCTACTCCAGTCATGCATGTTCCACAGATGACTTTTTTCTATATTTTTCTAAAAAAATAAATTTAAATGTAATCATGTAGAAATTTCTCAGTTTCTCACTTGTCACCATCATGAATTTATCTGCAAACTACTTACTTTTAACATCTTTCCCTCCTGGAGCAGTAAAATGGTTTCCTTTCCTGTGTCCAAAGCTTAATATTTTCATTTGTACTTTGGACTCCCTCCCAACTCTATGATATCACTCCAACAACCAATTTCGCTTATTTCTAAATTTTCAGTATTCTCTTATCTACTATCTCTTTCACTTTAATAACACATTCTCTAAAACACATTCTATTATTTAAAATTCTCTTTTAACCAATGTCCTCCCCCAACAATCTCCCTATTCTTCCTTTCAAAGCCAAGCTATGTGAAAGAATAGTGTTAAATTCCTTGTGTTCCTTCCTTTCCTCATTCATTCTTTTGGTTTTTCCTTGGACTACAAGTTTACAGAATGGGATTAATCAAAACCCTTGGTTTATGACACTCATCATTGCTTCATAGATGTCCCACTTTAAATTATTTAGTTAGTCAAAATATCTGCTCTCTCTCCTTCTGCATCTTTCCTCACACTTTCCCTTACCGGTTTTTCTAAAATGCTTTCCCTTAATGAATCTCACGACCTGAATTCTCATCTCCAACACAGCTTCTAAGGAACTTAACCAAAGACACTAGAGATGATAGAGCAGAAAGATAAGAATGAACCTGAAACACTGGTGCATCCTTGGAGCCACCACCCCAATCCTGGACTTTTAACTATGGGCTTCTTGGCATGTAAGAAAAATAGCTTACTAATTGGTTAAGGTCTTGTAGTGGGATTTCTTAGGCTTGTAGTTGAGCACAATCCTTAAATGATCCACTCCCAAGCCTAGCCTCTGTAGTCAGGATCACACTTCTAAATTCCAGACATACACCTCTAAGTACTTCAGTAATACCTCCATTTAGCATCTCAAACCCAACTTTTCCCAACTCATCAGCTTCTCCCAAAATATGCACTTCTGTCTGTATCTTGGATATCAATAAATGTTGCCTTTAACTGTTCACATATCCCCAACATAATCCTTGTTTAAAACAGAACTCTACATCCCCTACCAATCCTCTCCACAACTCTTCTCTGTCATGTTCCCCTGTACCACTGCCCAGGGCAGTGATTTAGTCACAGCCCAGTCCTATGAATCCTATCTCAGGTTAATCTCAAATATATTCTTCCCTCACCATTCCTCCTGCCAATGCCACTGCTTTCCTTTAAGTCCTCAACATCTTGGTCTTTGATAATTGCCTCCTACCTGGTCTACTTGCTTCTTAACTTGAGCCTCTCTAGTTCATTACTTACCCACACTTTTGCCAGAGGGACTTTGTTTGGGAAGGAAACAAACAAACAAAAAAATTCTCCTCTCTTCCCAAACTAGTCTACACAGTGAGATAAGATAAATATGAAGTAGCTGTTTCCAAAAAAAAAAAAAAAATGGGACAGAAACAAAGAGGAAGAAAGGAGCTAACTTCTACATCTGGTTGGACAAGACAGAGACCAAGGGGATGCGCAGGATAAGGATAGGATCCATATATTGAACTAATTCACCAGAAACAAGCACTTTGAGCCAGAGAGCCTAGGAAATCCAACAACCCCCTGCTCTTCCCTGCTCTTCATTCAAATCCGGGGAGGGACATAGTACTTCTTCCACTTGTGGTTTGAACTTCAAGCAAATTTCATTTGACTCTCCAATGTTCTTGTACCTCATTGAGTCCTGAGTTACACCCAAATCTGATAATATCATTCTTCTTCTAAGACTTTTCTGTGATTGTCTACCACTCTCAGGAAAAATCTGAGCATCTTGTTCAAGCCCTATGATCTGGCTATAGTGAACCACCCAGAGTTTACTACCCCGAACCTCCCAGGTCACACTATTAAATGCTTCCATGCCTTTTTTGCATGCTGTACCCCCTGTCTGGCACACTATTTCCTTCTACCCTTTCCACTTTACTGGTAAGTTCTATTTATCCTGGATGATGCAGTTCAAGCCTTTTTCAATCCACAGTCATTAGATCTCCAGTATAAATTCCCTCCAACTGGATTTCAGTATCACTATAGGTAAACTTCTGTTGAAGCATTTCTAAAACGATGAAGTAATAGTTAGTGATTAACACAATAGGGGAACAAAGTACAACTCTGTTCCCAGGAAAGCTTTGTGCTTTAGAAATAGTAAATACCCCTTCCTCAAAGTTTGTTTAATGTCTCTCTTTGATACCACTTACTGAGGACTTACTATTTTCCAGGCTCTGTAATAATGGCTTTATGTACAATTTGTAAATACTATTTAAATAATAATAATAGGTACTATTATTAAACTCCATTTTATAAATAAGAAAAGTGCACTTATAGAGGTTTAGTGATATATCCAAGTTCACACAGCCAGTG